CCCCAAAACCCCAAAACCCCAAAACCCCAAAACCCCGTTTGTGATCTTAGTTATTGGGATTCGTGAATATGTTAAAATACTTAATTTTGGAGACATTCTGGTCTACCTTTTTTGCAATATTCCTGATAAGATCCGTCATAGATGGAAGTCTTTTGAGCTCCAGCAATTCTTGCAGCTAATTCACTGATACAGGCAGTAACTCCTGCTCCGCAAGAGAACACAATATGCTTGTTGACATCAACACCATCCTCGAGCAATTGCTTCTCGATCTCTTCCTTTGACTTAAAAGTAGACTTGTCCGCAGTGACATAATCGAAACAGAAGGAGTTTTTGAAGCCTGGAGGAGTTCCTTTCTCAAAATTAGCAGCATTTCTAACATCAACGAACTCATAATCATCTGTTTCGCCTTCTATAAAAAGGTTAGATAAGTATGTTTTGTTACTCACTTTCAGCAGCAGCTACTTTCTCAAAGGTTGATTCGTAAAAATCGACTGAGTCTTTAACAAGTTCATAATCATATCCTTCTTCAGAAGTATCATTGACGTCTTTAGGATATCCAGTGGAGACTTTCCTCCCTTCATCGATCCATTTTTTGAGGCAGCCATTCAGAACACGTACGTCTTTTGCTCCAAAAGCTCTGAGCATATAGGCAGGTCTGCAGACAGAAAAGATGTTGATATGATCGTACAAAACAATGGTCTGATCTTTCCTAATACCAAGTCTTTTCATCTCGCTGATGAAAAACTCCTCAGATGGCCAAGTAGCAAGGAATCCAGATGAAGTATCTGCGATTTCTTGGAGGTTAAAGTAGACGCTTCCTTCAATATGAGCTTCATTGAATTGTTCTTTTGGATCCATAGCATCAGCACCTAAGTTCCAAGTTCCGCAGACAAGTTTCACTCCCTCTGGGTTGTTTTGGATCAACTCAGCAAGCTGTTCGGTTTCAATAAGTAAGTTCGTTTGTGATTCCATAAGAATTAGGATAAATTAGTTAGTATCTGAATTACTATTTCTTATGTAGGCAGTGGGGTTTTGGGGTTTTGGGGTTTTGGGGTTTTGGGG